TCGAAATGAAGGTCCCCCTAACAATGTTATCTCAGGAGATTCATCGAAACCAAATTTCTCTTCGTATCGACTTTCATTTCGTTTGAGGGTGTGGATGGATTGCGCCAGGAAATGACGGCGGACCGAATCGGTCTTCTGCTTCAAGTTACTAAGACTTTCATGTTGACTCAGTCCTTGAGACACGCCCTCCTTGAAGTCAAGACAAGTCAACACTCTTAACAAGCTTGCATTCGCAATGTTGTGTTTCGTGTATGGCATTTTTTGCGTTGTTTGTTTGTTCTTCGTTCTTGCCTCGTGTCTTTTATGCATAGTCTGCCCTCGCCTAAGAGGTGGGCCGCTAAACTTCCCTTTCAGCAGCACCCACACTACTCACACCTTTCCATCTTGGTTCACTTCTCGTCGGTGCCGCTGGGACTGGTTGATTGTTGTGCTGTCGGCATTGCAAGTTTAGAATTATAGCTCGACTTTTACAAGGCCTCATGACATGCATTAACGCAGACACGGATACTTCTCAATTCTGCAGTTCTCAAAATTCGAGGATCAGTCAACCCTCTGATAGCCTGGGCCTTCGATACTCCAACAGGTCGATCTCGGTGGCTCAGCCAAAAGGCCTCAGCAAATTTTCCACTTTTTGCCACCCACGGAAAGTGCGGTTGCCCTGCACACTTAAGGAGGCTGGAGCAGAAATAGGGCCATTTGAGGTGGGGGTGAGGTAGGGGGAGAGTGTACCAAAGTAGCCTAGTGACCCTTAAAGGAGGGACAAAAGCAAAGGTAGTAAACGGTGAAGAGGGCAAGGGGATCTGTGGGGTGCAAGAAGGTTTAGACGTTTTTGGGGTAAAATGCAGTTTTCTAATGAATTCCACCAACGTGAGCTTCGATTAAAGTCTATCAGCCCAACCAATAGATTCGAGGCACGACCAATGATTGAAGAGGGCAAACAGCGATCGATTTGCCGAAGCCTTAATCTTCATAGCTTGAAGGGGGTTGAGAGAGCCCACTCAGGCTGTATGACTCACTCGACGGGGCTCTGTTCACGGGGCATAGTCCAAAGCTGGTAATGAGCCATAATGCATCCGAGCTGGAGGCGTGATAGGACTTGGGCCCATTGCTTGCGCAATTGCAGAGCTTGCATGAACTGCTCCAACTGAACGTAAATCCAAGTGTCGACCGGGCGACGGGCAGGAAATGAAGCTTCTGATAAAAAGTTTTGCCATCAGTATTATCAGTCAATGGTGATAGATGGGTTGCAGTGAAATAGCACAACGCTCTGGGATCTCGTTGTAGTGTGGACTTGCACCTATCGCTACTTTGGAGTCAAGACATGTGGAGATTGGAGTTTTCATCGTACATTGCCACCTAAGGGCGCTTGCCTGCACGAACTAACAAACTGCCCTTTAAACAGGCCGATTATGCTACTTTATTTTTGTATGGAGGTTCATGGCTTCTTTGACTTTTCAAGAGGGTCTAAGCCCCATCCGCATTCCCAGACGGAGCTGTTATTTGCCAGCAATCTTGCAAATCGTCTTGCTCCTCTCAAGTACGCTTGGCGGAAGCTTTCCTGCCAAGAGGCCACACCTGAAGTGGTAGCTACATGGGCGATAAAACAATGTGGCCAAGATGTTGTGGCCTCTATTTTGGTCGCAGTCTCCGTTCGATGTATAGAAGTGGTCTGATCTCTATTTTTCGCAAGTGAAGTTGAAGATAAGAAAGTCGGTCAAAGGATGGTATTTTTGAATGGTTGTAGCTTGGTGCCGAGAATAGCGAGACTCAATGACGATGCCGATGAAACGTCCGAGAGTGTACCAAGTCCACGGTCCAACGCTTGGAATTACGATACCTACCAGGACAAATGACCTCGGACAAAATGCATCCAGTTAGGTTGCTCTGACAACACGGCCAAGTTGCAAAAACAAAGTCGGACCACTTCAATGCATTCTAAAGTCCGATTCTTTTGACTCCCTCTGAGATGATGAAAGGGATTTTCGGACAAAAAATTATATTGATACTGACATATCTGACATTTCGTTTGAGAAGGCGGGGGGGAGGCATTCGTAGATTGGCCTCATTGACTATACCGATTACGATGGGGATGAAACGTCTGAGAATGTACCAAGTCCACGGTCCGACGCTTGGAAATATGATAGCCATTATTGCAGAGGAATTGGGACAAGTTGCGTCCAATTAAGTCGCCCTGACAACACGACCAAGATGCGAAAAAGAAATCATACCACATTTATACATCGAAAGAGGACTGCGACCAAGATGGAGGCCGAAGCATCTTTGTCCTCGTAGCTACGTTTAAGCTACATTTCTTGATTTAGTATTTTTGGTGAATGCTCGTGAATAATGGTTTTTGGCTCTTGCGATGTCGGTCACAGGACGAAAGCTCAGCCCATAGTTATCGGTGTTGTAGGACGGTGAGCCGAAGCTTTCTTCATACAATTCAACAGAAAGAAATAGTTTTTCTGGATTAGCTTGACGTTTGCCGAGAGATTGATTTCACCATGTATCCCAAAAAGACGTTCGCATAATGCGTGGACAGCACTTTCGACCTCGCCTCATCTAAAGGGATTAAGGGACTAATGAAATAGTTGACTTTTCCCACAAGTGTTAAGCACTACTTATGGCGCCATGGAATTTCAATTTTGCATCCAAGATTTACTGACAGACTCGAAGCCTACTAGCGGCAGATATAAGTAACGTCATCGATGGTAGTGGCAAGCACATGTTTGCCTCATCAACGATCCACGATGCGCATAAACCAGTCTCGAATCCCTTTGGGAGTCGAGAATGAGTGAAATTCAATGGAATCGTGAGACCCAATTATGTCATTTCACTTCTTAACTCACTTTAAATGACCCGGGCTTGCGCCGAAATTCGTCATGGGCAGAGTTGCTATCAGTCCGATAGACATACATAACTGGGATGTATTCACCCTATTTCGTTTAAAGTGATGAAGGACTGATAGTAGAATTTTTCCACAATGATATGATTAGAGCTGACGCTTCCATTGAATTTCACATTGCCTTGCTTTCACAAAAGTTGTTACAAGATGGACTGCAGTTTCGACCTCACATCAGTCTTGTCAATACCCCTCGTGGCGATG